ATACTACCTCTACCTTTACCTACCTATCGACCTACCTACCTACCTACCTACCTACCTACCTACCTACCTACCTACCTACCTACCTACCTACCGATGGGAAGATTTTGGAAAGTTTAGGGCCTGCTGCCTACAACACCTCGGGCCTCGACCTAGAGGACCTAAAGCGTCGGATCGAGCTTTGGGATTTGTGCCTTCAGCGATGTATCAAATTTCTAGAGGCTCTAAAGCCTTCAAGGGATTCTAGGACGAGTCTAGGATTCTAGAATTCTAGGATTCCAGGGCTCTGGTCTCCAACTTTGAACTTAGGGCTCAGGCATGGGTCTAGGGCCTGCAATAATCGGGTTTAGGGCCTAGGGGCCTAGGGCCTAGGGCCTATAGTATCCTATAGGCCTACGGGCCTACGGTTCAGGCTTCAGGCGCTTGGGTAAGATGAGGTGCCTGACGCTTGCCCGATCCACCCGGCGGGCCACCAGGACCGTGCCCGCCTCCACCGCCGCTCCTCGGAGCTCGTTTCCTCCTTCGCTCTTCTTCTGCTTGGCCTTGCCAGACTGTAAAAACCGGAAGCAACTCTTGATTGAGCGGCATGACCTCCAAAATATCAGGCACGAAATCATCCTTGTCAAGCATCTTCTGTCTGTTGTCCAGCTGCCACCAGCCCGCTTTCCACTGTCTCTGGAAATCCACAAGGTCAGCCAAAGCCATGCGCGACCGACTGACATGCAAGCTCTCATCAGGAACATGCAAGAAAGCCTTCTGCAGGACACCGTCGCTGTCGCATTCGACATCCAAGAATTCCAAAACCAGGAAAGTGAAGTCATACACTTTGAAGTTGGCATAGCCGACGAAGAACCAAAGGGACTCAGAAGTAGACTCCCATTCGGCGCTGGAAGCAGCTGCCATCGTATCAAACTGTGCGTCCAACGACGCCCATCCAGTCAAGGCTTCTCCAGAACTCGGTGCCTGGCGGGCCTGGCGCTTGGGCCGCAGTTCCAAGATCAGCTCGGACTGCTCCATCATCAACCGTGCCTTGCTTTTCTTGCCCTTGGGTGGGCGAGCAGGTGCCTCAGCAGACGCAGGAGCGGTCCTATCAGCTTTGTCGCGAATCAAACGAACGAAAGGTCGGACAGCATCGACCAGATTCGAATGACACATATGCGCCAGTTGGCCAACGCCGGAGCAGATGCACATGCCATGCTGCAGGCATGGACTGCGGTTGAATGGAGTCGCAAGCATGCGGGAACCCTTCTGGCTCGGTACCAGTTTATGGCAGCACGACCAGTCCTTTGCCAAGCGATGCATCGCCTTGTGCGACCGACCACGAAGATCGGCATTCCTGATGAGGCTGGCCTTAGCGCATAAACTGCCGAAGCCTTTTTGCAATATCAAATGAAGTTAAATCCCGGAAATCCAAAAAAGCCAAAACATGTTCATCTAAGTTTTTCATAACTCAGCCCAAGACCCTTGCTAGCTCGGCCGCAGGATTCAACCAGCGACCAGTCGGGAAGCTGTCCGCTTCAGGAATATACCGGCAGGATGCAAAAGGAACACCCGTGCCAAAGAGGTCTGCAATCAAAGCCGTTTTGTCGTCTGCCTCCAGATCCTGAGCCACGAATGCTGCCACATGGCCCTGTTGCAAAGCTTCTTTGTCGTCGTGCTGCCGGGCTATGCCTGCAGCATCCTCTGCTGCATGTTTGCGCATGTCCGAAGCTTTTGTGCAGATTTTACCCCAGTCGGTATCTTCAGGCTGCACAAGTTGCACAGCGAGTTCAGGGCCTTCCACAGCAACACTGCTGCTGTCCTGGATTTGCTTTCTCCGACGCTTTGCAGGCTTTGGTTCTGCTGCACTCACAAAAGCTTTTGACCCGGCCCTGGCGCTGTCGGACGCTGCTTGACCAAGTTCCGCATACACCTGCTTCTCGGCAGATGTCAAGCGCTTGAAGGCTGCGTTGACACGGCGGAAAAGTGCTCGTCTGTTCTTCCAGTCTTGTGGAGAAGCCTTCGGCAGCTCCTGGTGCAGGTAAGCTCGCTGAGCTCCACCCCTGGGATGTTTGATGATGCTCTTGCCCTTCTTTTTCTTCGAAGCCATTGCGCGACGCTTGGCCTTGGCAGCCCGGGCAAGCTTCTTCGCGGCTTGCTTTCTCATCTCGCGCTGTTGCTTGAACTCGCAGAAAGCACCTTCATCCGGCGCAGGATGATCCTTATAGAAGGCCAACCTATCCAACACCTCCGCATCCTCAGACTGTGCTTTAGCAACCTGTCGCACCAAGAAGTCTGCGCTCAGGGTCTCGAAAAGGGAGTCCCAGGTTGTGCTTTTGGCTGTCAACAGCTTTCGCACTTGCGCATGCCGGCACTCAATTTCTGCAACGTCCACCGAGACACAAGCTGCAATGGTGTGAACCATGTGGCGGCAAATGTCGGATCGCAGATCTTTTGCAGTGGGAAAAGTATCTACAAACCACTGCGACAAAATGTCCAGTTGGCAGGGCTTCAATCTGAGCAGAGACCTTGCAATCTCGGATGTCTGCGAGGGGCCAGCAAGAAGCCCAAACAACAAGTATGGGCACTGCTGGCGGATCGCACCCAGATTGTGCTCCAAAGCACAGATCAATCTGCCCAACAAGCCTTGGCTGCTGTGCTCTGCTGAAGCTCAAGGAATCATTGTAACCATTCTTGTAAATGATTGTGTGGTTGATAGTCTGATAGCCTAGTAGCATACGAATATTTAGAGTTAAATAGCAAATCGTCTAGTCAAGTCTTGACTCCCGTAAGGATCCTAACGGGATTTCGACCCAAGCACCACACAGCGAAGATCGATCCGAAAGATTTCCTATATGACCAGGAACATAAACTCCTAAAGGTCCTAAAGCGAACGTGCGCTGCTTGAACTTGTTGGGCACATTCCTGACCAAAACCTCTTACAATCCGACATCGGCCTACATAACATCGGAGTTTTCATAAGCGGATTTTCAAACCTAGGACCTAGTGTGCGAGAGGACCGCGGGGCCTTAACACACACTATGTGAACCTATTTGTGAACCTCAATCTAAATTTGAACGCTATCGGATATCGGATAACCGCCAACACAAACTTCAAAGGGAAGGTGGTTCGACAACCCACCCAGAGCTAGGGGTGTGGGGGCAAGGAAAAGGAAGGTCCTAGCCGCTAGCCCTAGGGCCCTAGGGCCCTAGGGTTTAGGGAATGCTTCTGAGAATTGCGCGGTAGTTAATCTGGTATGGCGACTATAACTAGTTCCAGGCCTGACAAGGTTTGCTAAGTATGTGAGTGTGCACCACTGTGTGAATAATCAACAGCCTAGTTAAGTTGCCTAGTGGGCCTAGGGCCTAGTTACTTTAGCTAGTTAGCAGCTAGTTACTAGTTAGTTAACCCCCCCTCCCCGGCCCAAACTGCCAAGTGTCGAAAAAGCAGGTTCTTGTTAGCCTGTGTCAAAGCAGCCCGGGCAAGAGCCGGCACACCTGCATGGAAAACCTTCTCCACACGATGCTTTGCCTCAGTAAAACCTTGGCCAAAAAAAACTTCTGTCAGCTTGTATGAGCGCTCCTGACCCTGGCACAAAGACCATTCCTGGTGGTGTCGCCACTTGTCTCCAGAAATATGTAAATACAGGAACAGCAAGTCTACAACAGGATTGAGAGCAGTCCTGAGAACGGCAAACACGTTCAGATCAGCACTTGAAATCCATGCCCGCACCTTGGCCTTGGCGGCTGTGTTGAGATCTGCCAATCGTGTTTCTGCATCGTTGCTCCAAGCACTGCTTCCAGCAACAGCATCCGCTGCTTGCGCAGCTTCCATGGTTTCTCTCTGCCCATGTCGACTGAGCATGTCGACTGCCAAAGCCTGCCATCCTTCATTCAGAGCCGGCTCATCAGTGAGAGCCGGCGCATCAGCAATCTGAACGGTCACGCTGACCGGCCCCAGCATTCGAAGCAGCACTGGCTTCAGTAATCCGTGCTGCGACTGTAAAAGGCCGCACCAGTCTATTGACAACTCTCCGCCGTACCATCTGTGCCGAGGAAACAGCCGCAGTCCCTCCGGGACGAGTGCAGGAATGATGAACCTGCGCACCAGCCACATAGCCTGCTGCGGATCTATTATGTGACCGTGGGTGCAAAGTGTCACCTGAGTCTCATCTTGTATGTCCATGGCCAAAAAGTAGTTCAAAACTTTCCTCTGAACAAGGCGCTTCCTTCTGTTCAGTCTCTTGTCGCTGGATCTGGCCAGGTTCAAAGACAAATACAAGTTATACACAGCAAGCCTGTAGTCCTCCAGCTCACCTCATGGAATGTCACCTATATGTATCTGGAGGCGGGCTTCAATTTCATCTGCCAATATTTGTCGAAATTTGGACAGGGTCCCAGCACTGCCCAACACCAGGGCAGTCGAGATCATGCCTGTAATCGTTTCGGAAACCGGTGCCATTTGCCAGGACATGGCCCGGCTCGTGTCATGAATTTGACAGGGAAAACGACTGGGGATGTCTTGCGGCATTTGCGTGTGAAGCAACTCCTCAGCGCGAAGATTGCCGGAATATCTATCCGCTGTGGCAATGTTCACGCGAACATCGCTGTGTGCCCCAAGCTCCTCCACCGATTCCAGATGTCTGTGCAGGTCCAATTGTGCCTTAGCCAAATCCTCCCCTGTGGTGGTCTCCAAAGCTTGTAATGGCACATGCAATGCTCCATAGTGACAAGAAAGTTGACCCGAAGGCACATGTTCAAGTAGCAAGCCAATTTTGAACCTCGTCTGAAGAACTTTTGCCAAACAACTATCTGCTCTCTGCAAACCGCGAGAATCGTCCTGGGCAGGTGCCACACGGACCCGCACCGGTGTTTCATCGTAGATGCGGTGACGAAGCAGAAGTCTCAGCTTCACAGTGCCCTCATGTAATTTGCTTTTCAGCATCCGGCAATGCAATGCCCACGCAGCTGAGCTGCACAAATGTGTTGCCGATGCCAATACGGTCAACTTTCGGGCGAAGTTTTTCTCGGGGATGCCCAAAGCTTCTGCGTCTGCAGTGAGCCCAGTCTGCGGCCGCGGCCCTGAATCCAACACCCTTGCCAAGAAATCCTGCAGGTCTGTTGATACGACAGTGTCATCTTCCACGTCGAACTCGTCTGTTATTGTCTCTGACTGCGACTCATGTGCACCTGCATGCTGTTGTGCACTTGATCGCTCTTCCGATGCAAGCTGAAGCAACGAAACTTGTAGATCCGCAGATGATCCTGGAGCCACCAATCCCAGAAGATGCCCAGGCACTGGAGTGCCCACAGAAGGTTGCTGCACAGCAAGTTCGAGGGCAACCGGTCTGCCTATGTCTGCCTCCAAATTGATTGCTGCTTCGGAATCGGCAGCTCTTAGATCTACAGTGTCAGCATCCTCAGCCATTTCTTCCAACACTCTACGAGACTCTTTCCGAAGAATGTGGCTGCCTTTTTTGCCAGAGCGCCTGGCTTGCAACCGCATCCGCTGTTGCTTGCGCAACGAATCTCCCACCAACACCTCTTCTGCCGGAGCTTCAGCATCTGGAGCTGCAGCTTCAGCAGCATTTGAGCTCTGCGAATCAGATATCCACATGCCACAGAGAGAAACTCAAAGCCGTGCATGCTGGGCGACGAAATGTCATGTTCGCTCAAGTGACTCACGTGACTGAAATGCTTGATACAACCTGTACTTTCGACCGCGTATTGCTACTTTGCCACATCTTTGTTTTGGGGGGCTACACTCGGCTACACTGCACTACACAAAGAGTGGAGTGACCAAGATCTGCATATGTACACTCTCTTTTCGACCTTCTGAGACTCTATGACTCTATGACTCTATGATAATATAGGCTCTATGACCCCAGGCCGAAGTTGGCTTCAATGCGACCCGAAGCTATCAGCTATCTGCAGACACAACGCTGCATGAATCATGATCCGAGCCGACTCGGTTGCACAACAGGAAGAGTCAAGGAATGAAGGGGCATAACACGGACCAGTCGCCACACCTGCAAAAGCCTGAGGACCAAATGACACAATGTGTGACTCGACACATACGCGATCAAGCCTTAATCCTTAATTCAACCTTGGCGAACCTGGCTGCCTAGCTGCCTGGCTCCGGGACTTCAAGAAGCATTGCAATGTTTCCGGCAGCCACTGAACTACTGGATGAATGTAACACTGAGTCTGAATCTACATACCACATCAATGCCTCGAATCTATGCTTCATGCCTCTAGACCTATACTGCATAACATTATGACTCTATGACTCTATGCCTGTGCAATGAGTCCAGTGTCGAAGCTACCGCAGCTACCAGGCAACAGAAGGCGCACAGGCACAAACACACAAACCGCGGTTAACCTGAACACAAACAACGCCAGAGGTACCATATACCACCTGGACTGACCTCACTGGTAGCTGCCTGCACTGAGCACTGACCTCGGGACCTACAGGATCTACACGTCACTACACCCCCTACCTACTCGCAACATCAACGGACTGTCCTGGGCCGCGACACGTTGACCCACCATTTGTGGTCCATCTCCACAACGATGAAGTGGTAGCCAGGTTGGCCACTCTCGGCAGTGGCGTCTTGCACGCTCTCCAAGAACCTGGCCAAAATTACTAGTTTGAAGTTACTGGTCACTAGTCACTACTACTAGTCATCAGAATCCTAAGTTCTCCTACAATCTCAGAGTTTGGGAGTTCTGCTTCAGAGTCGCGGGAAGGCTTGTTGGGAGTCGGGTAAAAGTAAGTGTAGTGTATGGGCAAAATGGAAACTAGGAAGCCCTGCTAGGCAGGACCGTCTGTGAGCCTTGGCCTTGAGCCGTATATAGGGGCTGAACTTTTGGGCTACCGCTAGGATGCAGCTCTGCTTCGTTAGGATGGAGCTACTCAGCTACTCTTACAAATGCCGGGCGCCACAAACATGTCGTCTTGACAGTCTGGACCATAGAGCCATAGCCATAGACCATAGAGTCATAGAGCGCATGGAGCCATAGAACACGGAACATTATGAATTATAAACTCTGCGTCTCTGTGTTTCACACCGATCGACTGAACACAGACCACGCAACACGAACAGCGTGCCTCGTCATGGATGTGCCCGTGCTCGTGGCCCTCTGACTGTCAGACTTATTCCAGCCTGTCACATTTTCCTGAAATCCTGCTTGAGGCTGCAACGTGACCAACCAGGTCACTAACAGCTCTGCTGTGACAGAATCCTGTGGATGAGCTTTCACGGAGCCATCATGGTAGCGTTTGGGGCGCTGATCGGAGTACGGCGGACACGGTGTCCCCGACACACCGAACTCCGCTCCTGCGCAGCTGCAGCCGCCGGTCGCGTCGCGATGAAGCAAGCAAGCACTCCCAGACATTTGCTCCTGCATGCCATAGTGCAAATGA